GTATGAATATAATATACAAGTTTCACTTTTTAAATGGAATTACTGAAATAAATCTACTGTATTTATGTACAGTTATTATGTTGTAATTAGATTTATATGCTGCAAAAACTGTCCTTCTAACCACGTCTTTCAATCTTATATCCAGCCAAAGAAGGTATTTTGATCTTGTTTTGAGACTGACAAACAAGAGCAGAACAGAGCAGTCTGATTATTAATCTGGTTAGCCTGGAAATATTCCTTATTTCAAGAAATCTTGCCAAGTGCAATTGTCTTAATGATCAGGAATGATCTGCCAGTGGAATAAGACAACTGTAATTCCCGAATTAAGAAAAATGTCCAGGCTAACAATAATAATAATTTAACAGATTTTGATCATGCTTAGTATATCAGTCACAAATACAGTTCTTTTTGTCAGGATAAAAAAGAACTGAAGGACTTAGTTAGATGGCCAATTTTTATAGAGTATTACTGCAAGATACTTACTCAGTATTGTAAAAAAAGTTGACTGTTGATAAAACTCACCATCACTTTACCCACATCTGTGAACATCTGCAGCACCAAAACTTTGAACTGTAAGAATAAAACTCAAGTTTCGTTGCTAGAATCAGCAAATCTGATTGCTACAGATTTTGCTGCACGTGAAGAAAGGTCTCTCTGAGGACTGTTCTGTGTTTGTATTTTTAGTTTGTTTCTGAATGCATCTATGAGATCAGTACGTAAAAGTGAAAAACAAATTTGTAAATTGCTCATTTCATAATTATTTGACTAATGTATAATGAAGCTGAAGGAGGACACAAAAAACACAGCACACAGAAGGCAAATACAGTAAATTAAAATACACTGAAAGTCTCTGCAGAGGCAGAGAAACTTAAAGACTAATGAAAAGAAAATTCAACAAAAAAAAAACAGCACTGGTAGAAAAAGAGATTAACTCAGGACCATAACAAACAAGTGACCAGATGTTCTAACAGAGGCAGAAGGAAAAAAAAAAACAGAACTAAATGTTCATGCCCAGAGGCTGATGTTGCATGGAAAAGTAAGATTAAAATCAGGACAGACAGAAACACTTTCACTCAGTCACACTCTTCCGTTTTCTGTACCTCCATAATCTTGTTCTGAGCAGGGAGAACTGTACAGTCAGCACACACATACTGTTGGTTTGTCTATCCTCGTGGGGACTTTGCATTGACTTCCATTTATTTTTCAGTCATTTCTACAGCTTAACCATGACCCTAAACCTAACCAACCCAGCACACACCTAACCCTAAATCTAACCTAAACTCAATTATCTTACCCAAAACCCAAAATCAGCATACGTGTGGGGACCAGACCTTGGTCCCCATGATGTAGCAAAATCGTGTCCCCACACACAAGCAGACTTTTTTCTATCATTAGAAGGACATTGCATTTGCTTCTAATGATTTTGTATTTATTTCTATAGCCTAAGCCCCTCCCCCCAACTTAACCTAACTTAAACCGTTTTACACCTAAACCCAAACCCTGATGCAAAAATTGCATTTGAACATACAAGGACCGAACTTTTATCCACCCAAGTAGGATTGGATCCTCACAAGTTGGTATGTTGAAAAAATAACAACACTAACGGCACTGACCATCGTTTGTAACTTTTTTTTTCGCTGGCCACTTTTCCATCAAGCGGTGTGGAGCTTATGGGTGTGCTATGGGCAGAAACTTCCATCTCTTCCAGCTTCATCAGGGTTATTTTGCATCTGTTGGTTATTTATCTTCTTGGGTTTTGGTGGACAAAATCTCCCTTGAAAGGTTTGCTGTGGTGGCTTGATGGTGCTCTGTGGGATGCTCAGAGTTTCAGATATTATTTTATTATTGAGCCCTGATCGGTTCCTCTCCACAAGTTTCATCTCTAATCTGTTTGAAGATTTCCCTCATCTTCATGCAGTCTGTTGCTTGGTGGTATAGGTTTAGAGGTGGTAGTTCTGGGAAGATGGGGTTTGTGGCGGGGAGATGAATACTTCTGCAACCCATCAGCTTTCAGTATAATACTAAAATGTTTTTATTTGACTAAACAACAAGGTAACTTTGAAAGTTTCCTTCGCCTTTTGCACATTGACTGCTGTTGATAAGCACAAGCTCTCCAAGACTCAGAAAGGAAGAAGAAAGAAGAAAATGGATGGATGGATATACAGCGGGTAAAATAAGTATTGAACACATCAACATTTTTCTCAGTAAATTTATTATTAGAGGTGCTAATGACATGAAATTTTCACCAGATGTCGGTAACAACCCAAGTGATCCATACATACAAAGAAATTAAACCAGAAATGTCCAGAAATGAAGTTATTTGTAATAATGTGGAATGGCACAGGGAAAAAGTATTGAACACACTTACTGAAATTTATCTAATACTTTGTACAAAAGCCTTTGTTGTCAATGACAACAAAGGCTTTTGTACAAAGTATTAGATA